AACAGCAGGCTGGGACTTAGACCCCGCGCCCTGGGAGCGTCCGTGCGGTGGGCTGCTAGAGACTCTGCCAGGCGGCATAACAGTACCAAACGGCCAAAAGATGACGGAACCTGGAAGAGGACCTTCCCCCCTGGAAAATATGTGCCAGCATCTGGCGGCTCTTACTCAGGCGGTAAGGGCGCTGGAGGAGGGCTATAATCACCTGGATGGTCGGATCCAGACCCTAACCACCACTATTTCGACCCCCGAATGCGTCCTTCCTTCGCATAGGGCCTACGACTGTCTGTCCAATCAATCTGCTCCCGGGATCTGAGGTACCCTTCGGGCGGATCTTTCCTCTGTCAGAAAAAGAATTAGGGGTACTAAAGGAATATATTGAGGAAAATCTTCAGAAGGGGTTCATACGCCCCTCCACATCCCATCGGGTATTTTCTTTGTTGAGAAGAAGGATAAATCCTTAAGGCCCTGTGTGGACTATAGGGAGCTTAACAAGATCACGGTAAAGAACCGTTACCCACTTCCTTTAGTACCAGAACTGTTTCAGCGACTCAGGACTGCATCTGTTTTTACGAAGTTGGATTTGAGGGGGGCTTACAATCTGGTCCGTATTCGGGAGGGAGATGAGTGGAAGACTGCCTTCCGTACTAGGTTCGGGCACTTTGAGTACCTGGTAATGCCCTTCGGTCTGTGTAACGCCCCCGCCACCTTCCAGCACTTCATTAACGATGTGTTCAGGGACTTCTTGGATATTTTTGTGGTCATCTATCTTGATGATATCTTAATTTTTTCTGCATCTCTGGAGGAGCATAGGGGTCACGTCAGGGTAGTGCTGGAAAGGCTCCGTTTGCATGGGTTATACGCAAAGGCAGATAAATGCAGTTTTGAGCAGCACAGTATCCCCTTCTTAGGCTTAATTATTTCTACTACTGGAATAGCGATGGATCCACAGAAGATCTCCGCAGTTCTGGAATGGCCGGTGCCGTTAGATAAAAAAGGGGTTCAACGGTTCATTGGCTTTGCTAATTTTTACCGGAAATTCATTAGGAACTTTTCAGGCCTAGTATCCCCCATCACGCAACTTACCAAGCAGGGAGTGCGTTTCAAGTCGACATCTGAGGCGCAGGAAGCCTTTGAGTCCCTAAAGAGGTTATTCACCGAGGCCCCAGTATTGAGCCATCCTGATTCTTCACTACCCTACATCTTGGAGGTGGATGCTTCCGAAAACGCGGTTGGGGCTGTGCTTTCCCAAAGGAAGGGCATCAAGGAACTGATGCATCCCGTGGCATTTTTCTCCAGGAAACTATCTTCGGCCGAAAAGAACTATGACATAGGGGACCGAGAACTCCTGGCCATCAAGGCAGCGCTGGAGGAGTGGAGGTACTTGCTGGAAGGAGCCGTGCACCCGATCTTGATTTTTACGGATCACAAGAACCTTGAATATTTGAGAACGGCGAAGCGCTTGAGACCAAGACAGGCTAGGTGGGCACTTTTTTTCTCTCGGTTTGTGTTTCATATCACTTATAGGCCTGGATCAAAGAACACGAAACCAGATGCTCTTTCGCGGATGTTCGAAGACCCAAAGGAGGCCCACAAACCTGACACCATCCTGTCGTCTGGTAATTTTTTGGCATTACAGACTGAGCTACGTTCCCAACTACAGGCAGCATCCATAGGGGCTCCAAAGGTTCCAGGGGTGCCACTACAGAATAGAGACGGATTATGGTGGAAAGGAGAACAAATCTTGGTACCTGACGAATCTCGCACCACGGTCTTGGGCCATTGCCATGACCATCCCCTGGCTGGGCACTTCGGGACCCGGAAGACGTTGGGACTTCTACAACGTATGTTCTGGTGGCCCAGCATGTCCAAAGATTGCGAGGCTTACGTAAAGACCTGCGCGGTCTGTCAAAGGAATAAGCCTTCCAGGAACAAGGCTTGGGGGCTCTTGCGACCCTTACCCATACCCAACAGACCGTGGGAAATGATTTCGATGGATTTCATTGTGGAACTTCCTCCATCTCAAGACCATACCACCATTTTCGTGATTGTGGACCGCCTATCCAAGATGGCCCACTTCTTGCCTCTCAAAGACACACCATCCGCTGCGGAGACGGCGCAAATCTTTGTGAGAGAGGTGGTGAGACTCCATGGAATTCCTAAGGATATAGTTTCGGATAGGGGTGCCCAGTTCACCTCCAAATTTTGGAAAGCACTATGCGAGACCTTGGAAATCAAGTTATCTCTCTCCTCGGCATATCACCCACAGACCAATGGACAGACCGAACGTACAAACCAGACCTTGGAACAATATCTCCGATGTTACACATCATTTCTTCAGGACGATTGGCTAACTCTTTTACCACTGGCCGAATTTGCTTACAACAATGCTAGCCACTCGACTACTCAGCAATCCCCATTTTTTGCCAACTACGGCTTCCACCCGACCTTTTTACCTGACACAATTCCTGAAAGTTCGGTGCCAGCTACACAGGACATGTTGCACTTCCTTTCTGCAAACAATAAGGTCTTACAAGAAGCAATCCTGAAGGCCCAGGAGGGCAGTAAGAAAGCCTTTGACAAAAGGAGAAGAGGGGAGCTTATGTTACACCCAGGGGACCAGGTCTGGTTGGCCACGACAAACCTTAAGATGATATGCCCATCGCGGAAATTGGGACCGAGATTTATGGGCCCATTCCAGGTAAAGAGGAAGGTTAACGAAGTGGCGTACGAGCTCGTACTCCCGGAATCCTTTAGAATACACCCGGTATTTCATGTATCGCTGTTGAAACCCGCGGCACCGGACCCATTCCCGAACCGGAGATCTAGGCCTCCTGACGCCATAAACGTTGATGGGGAGGAGGAATTCGAAATTGAGACAATTCTAGACTGTAGGAAGAGGGGGGGTCAGACCCAGTTTCTCATTAAGTGGAAAGGGTATGGTCCAGAGGAGAACTCATGGGAACCCTCCCAGAACATTCATGCCTCTAGATTGATTCGGGATTTTTTTGACAACCACCCACGCAAGAGAGAACTGTTGGGCATCCGGCGGCTGCCCGTAGGGGGGGGGCAATGTCAGGATCCGGGTGTTCTGCGGCATCGCGTCGGGCGGCGCATGCGCAGAACACCCACTCTCTCTACCCGGCGGGCGGTAGGACCTGGCCGCGCATGGCAGCGGCGGGGTTCGCGCATGCGCACTTGGGATCACGGACGCGCGCCTGGCACCAATGACAGCGGGAGGCGGGCTATTTAAACGCAGGAACAGGTATGTTAGTTGCCGTTTGGTCTTGTATCCTGTGTCCTGTATCCTGTTCCTGTGTTGCTGTATACTCCGTTGCCGACCTCTGCTTGTTCCTGATCCTGCTCTCTCCTGTTTGACCCCTGGCTTGCCTGACTACTCTTCTGTCTGATCCCTGGTACTGTATTTGCCCGCACCCTGTTGAACCTGGCTTGTGACCTGACCATTCTTAGCTCGCTCCTCTGTACCTTGTTGCCCGCATAATACCGACCGGCCTGTCTGACCACGCATACCGTATCCATCCACCGTCCATCCATCCCGGTTTGGGTCAGACCTGTGTATCTGTCTGCCTCTTCCAAGTAGATTCCGTTCCTGCACTCCCCTGTCAGTATTCTCTACCACCGCAGGACGCATTCGGGGGTCGCGAGCTGGTTTCAGTCTGCACCAAGTCCATCCCCACCATCAGGGGCCCTGGTGAACAGCAGGCTGGGACTTAGACCCCGCGCCCTGGGAGCGTCCGTGCGGTGGGCTGCTAGAGACTCTGCCAGGCGGCATAACACAAGCATTGCTGAACAGTCCTCTACAAAAGGTACCCCTAGTGCAAGGGTGTGGTAGGCCCCACCCACAATATGGCATAATCTGTAAAACCCAACCTCCCTACATATATTAGTTGTAGTCGTGCACTGCCCTATGCAGACTACAAATCCCATGAGCCATAGTCCATACCTCTTGTATTAGAGTGCCCCCACTCTGGATGAAGGAGCATCTTTGAACAGTAGCATTGTAAAATCTGGGGGGAGAGCGGTGTTTATGTACTAGCAGATTTAAATACAGTAACAAACTGAAGCCAAACTCCAACTCACACTTTATAAGCAGTAACAGCAAACAGTTTTTTTCCTTTTGGGATAAAGGTTTTTCACAAATAAATAAAAGCTGATAATTGTGCACATCCCTATCAGTAGTAAATGGTTTGTCTCTTCCCTGTAACAGCTTTTTCTGTTGAAAAACAGCAGACTTAGATCACTAGGTGAAAATAAAGGAAAGAAATCCTAAAAAAAGAAAACTAATGCAGTTAATCATATCTAAGAACTGGTAACTGCATTATAATAAATGTTTGCTTTTCAGTTTAATACTGTTTTAAGAATGCATACTTGAAAAGTTTTAATTTTTTAAAGCCAGAGTGTCACTTTAAAGCTAAAATGTTATTTATCAAATCACAAATACCAGAGAATGACCAGAGATAAAGTACAAAGAACTTTATATTCAGCTTCAAATACATAAACCTGAACACAAGCGGTGGTAAACACAAACCCAAAAATGTAATATATTGCAGTTTACCAATCCTTAAAGTGTTACTAAACCCAGGACCCTGCATTCACTATATCTGCTCTCCCCTGACCCTGCATTCACTATATCTGCTCTCCCCTGACCCTGCATTCACTATATCTGGTCTTCCCGGATCCTGCATTCACTATATCCGGTCTCCCAGGACCCTGCATTCACTATATCTGGTCTCCCTGGACCCTGCATTCACTATATCTGGTCTCCCCGGACCCTGCATTCACTATATCCGGTCTCCCCGGACCCTGCATTCACTATATCCGGTCTCCCCAGACCCTGCATTCACTATATCTGGTCTTCCCGGATCCTGCATTCACTATATCTGGTCTCCCAGGACCCTTCATTCACTATATCTGGTCTCGCAGGACCCTGCATTCACTATATCTGGTCTCCCTGGACCCTGCATTCACTATATCTGGTCTCCCCGGACCCTGCATTCACTATATCTGGTCTCCCCGGACCCTGCATTCACTATATCCGGTCTCCCCGGACCCTGCATTCACTATATCCGGTCTCCCCAGACCCTGCATTCACTATATCTGGTCTCCCCGGACCCTGCATTCACTATATCTGGTCTCCCCGGACCCTGCATTCACTATATCTGGTCTTCCCGGACCCTGCATTCACTATATCTGGTCTCCCCGGACCCTGCATTCACTATATCTGGTCTTCCCGGATCCTGCATTCACTATATCTGATCTCCCCAGACCCTGCATTCACTATATCTGGTCTCCCTGGACCCTGCATTCACTATATCTGGTCTCCCAGGACCCTGCATTCACTATATCTGGTCTCCCAGGACCCTGCATTCACTATATCTGGTGCCCCGCAGTACACACAACATGGAAGAGCAATTTGTTTTTAGCAAATATAAACTGCTAAATACCTTTCCTCATCAGCAGTTAGAGCAGTCTTGTGACTTCAGCACAACACTGGTTAATGCTTATAGGAGGAGTTTTCTTTCTGCTCTAGGAGGATGCAAAACCCCTGACCTCTATCTGACCAGTGCTGATTGACCCTGTGCTGATCACATGCACTCTCCCAAGAAAAAAAACTTCTCCAGCAATACAAACCAAACTGAGCATGTGCAATATGCCTAAAATTCAGTCTGTCTTATCCGGAGATAAAAGGTGGTTGCTTGAAAAAGGGGAGGAACAGAGAAGAAAGGATCAAATGGCCTTTTTTCATAATGCAGAGGATTAACCCCTTAGGTTCCATCAGTGAGTATAACAAGCATGCTTTACTGCATATACAGACTGATTTTACTGTTGTGGGTTTAGTAACACTTTAAGGCTTCATTTACACAGGCAGATAGGGGGGCAGTTAAAACAGGTTGAGACGCAGGTCCCGGCGGTTGTAGAACTGCCCTATTCATTTGAATGGGTTACATTCAGCAGGCAATAGTGTCCAAGGAATGCAACAGGGGGTATAATTCCTGCCTTGGCATGTGTACACCCCTACTGCCTGTGCAGCTAAAGGAGAACAATTGGGGGATGGTAAAAATTTAACTCAACCTCATGGTTTTATCGCCCCCCATCCTCAACTCCACGTGCCAATGTCCCCTAGTGGTTCTATATTTCCAACCCTATAGCTTTCTTTGGACTTTCACCTAATGCAAGCGACTTCAGGAAAAAAATGCCATATAGGCAAAGTCAAACTTAGGAAGCTTGCTGAAAAAAATATATTTTAGATATGTTAGAACTGTTTTGATTTCTAATAGTTTGTTTGCTACTTATTTCACACAAACAGCTTATAACTGCATAGAATATGTTATCGTGTTCAGTTAGCAACATATACAAAGTTGAAAGTGTATTTTCCCCACGGATCACTGCATTTCCTCACTTCCTGAAGCTATTTTTGCAAAGTGTAGCAAATAGAAAAAATAACTTGTGTGTAAAAATCATACAGGTCATCCTCATTCTTTACACACTTCAGTGTATACAGTATATATAGTAGTAGTATAGACTCTTTCCCTATGCTGGAAATCCTAGCTATACATTGAAAAAAACCCACAACTTTATTAACCGCTTCCTGTCCGCTCTATAGCAGAAATACTGCTACAGGGCGGCATGGTGCACAAAATCACATGTGTATGTATATATATATATATATATATATATATATATATATATACTTGATTTAGCATTTCCAGGTAGGGGACACGCACGAGCCATGTGCACCCTACTCGCACCGCTATTCGCGGCTGCAGCTGTCAATTACTCACCGGCGCCTGCTGATTTCCAAGGATCTCTGACGGGGAGGAGAACTGTTTTGTTTACTAACAGTTCTGCTCCCTGTCAGCTCAGGCACACTGCTTTGGATGGCTGTACACAACACAGCCATCCAAAGCAGTGTGGTTACAGTGAAGCACACTGACACAGCCCCCTAGTAAAACACTCCCAGCACACAGTTAACCCTTTGATCGCCCCTCATGTTAACCCCTTCCTGCCCAGTGCCATTAGTACAGTGTCAGTGCTTTTTTTTTAGCACTGACCACTGTATTAGTGTCACAGGGGATATCAGTGACACCAAGCCAATTCCCCCCAGTGTCAGAATGCCCACCACAGTCCCCCAGTCTTGCAATAAGTTGCTGATTGCCGCCATTACTAATAAAAATAAAAAAAACAAATTCCAGTATCTATATTGCCATTGGTAAATGCTGTAACTTTCACGTAAACCAATTAATTTACACTTATTGGGATTTTTGTAGCAGAATACATTCGGGCCTAAATTTATGACGAAATTTGATTTTTGAAATTTTTTTACTGGACATGTTTAATAGCAAAAAGTCAAAAATATTGTTTTTTTTCCAAATTGTCAGGCTTTTTTTTTATAGCGCAAAAAATAAAAACCACACAGGCGATCAAATACCACCAAAAGAAAGCTCAATATGTAGAAAAAAAAGGACATAAATTTCATTTATGTACAGCGTTGCATGACCGCGCAATTGTCAATTAAAGTAATGTAGAGCTGTATCGCAAAAAATGGCCTGGTCAGAAAGGGGGGTAAATCTTCAGGAGGGCAAGTGGTTAATGTTTATCATCTCAAATCAATATAAACAATGTTACACTAAAGCGCTCAGTATAAACAATTACATCCCATAATTATTTTTGGTTTGACAGTAAGTTTGTTCTTCAAACCAAAGGAATGGCAATGGGTGCTAAATTTGCGCTGAGTCTAACAAATTGATTCATGGCAATGTGGGAGGACGATGTGATTTTTGGTAGACAGTGACCGGCTCTGGGCTTTTAGAAGAGATATATCAGCAATATTATCTTTTTTTGGAATGGAGATAGAGAGTCTTTACATAAGTTGATGCAATTTTTGAACATCAACCGTAGGAATATTAAGTTAATCCATACATTTAGTGAGAAGGAAATAAACTTTTTGGATTTGACCCTTACAATTGTAGGGAACATTGCTGAAACAAAATCAATTTTTAAAAGTACTGACAGAGATAGTTACATTCCCCTTACCAGCTGCCATAATCCTACTTGGTTAAGAAATATTCTTAAGGGCCAGTTTGTCAGGATGAGGAGGAATTGTAGTAGTACAGCAGAATACTTCTCGCAGAGTCTGATTCTGAAATAGATTTTTACAAAAGGGATATAATGAAAAAGAATTAGATAAATTAGTGCAAGAAGTGGGACAACTAGAAAGACCCTCACTGTTGGCCAATAAAAATAGTTGCAGAAATTCAGGGATCTCTTGCCCTTTTATTACCAACTTTTCTACTCAACATTGACAAGTTAGATCCATTATTCAGAGACATTGGAACATTTTAACCACTTGCCCTCCAGAGGATTTACCCCCCTTCCAGACCAGGCCACTTTTTGCGATATGGAGCTGCGTTACTTTGACAATTGTGCGGTTATACAGCCAAATTAAATTTATGTCCTTTTTTTCCCCCACAAATAGAGCTTTCTTTTGGTGATATATGATCGCTTGAGCGTTTTTAATTTTTTGTGCTATAAACAAAAAAATACCAACAATTTCGAAAAAAGTTGCTATTAAACATGTCCAGTAAAAAAATTTAAAAAAGCAAATTTCGTCAGAAATTTAAGCCAAAATGTATTCTGCTACACGTCTTTGCTAAAAAAAAAATCCCAATTTAATTGGTTTACATGAAAGTTATAGCGTTTACAAATGGCGGTACATTATAATGATAATAACAGTATTAAAATATGTTTTGATTTGTATATTTAGTTCTGCTTATGATGTTTCTGGCAAAAAAAGCCATTTCCTGTTTTCTATGCTGAAGTAAGCTATTTTTGTTTATTTATATATATTTTTTTTTATTTATTCTGTATATATGTAAGTATGTTTTTATTACAGTTTGTACAAATTTTAATAAACAAAACTTTACAAACATGAGTATTAGAAGGAAAACTTTACAATATTTACATGATTGACATGCTCCAGTCAACTGACTCAGGGAATCTGCTTAATGTCTCAAATGTTATTCCTAACATTTAGCCCGGGTTCACATATATGCGGTTCGGTATATCGCAAGTGATTCGCACAGGAACTGCACTGCATTCCTGCGCAAATCACATGCGAATTGTGTGCGGTGATTGGAGACATATATTTTGTACGGCTCTAAATGCACCACCCCCGCACCAAAAAGGTATAAAACCTTTTTTTTGGTCCGCACTAGAATCGGATGGCATGGGTATTCACACTTATGCGATCTGATTCTGCACATCACACCGTATTTTTGGACCGATTTCGGGGTGTTGTTAACTTAACATACACACCCGCAGCGGTTCGCATGAACGGGGTGCAATTCTAATTCGGTGTGGAATTCGCACAGAAATTTCTGCAAATTCCGCACCGCATTAGTGTGAACCCAGGCTCAATGGGTATATCTGGCTGAACAGTGTGCAAAATACTTAAAGCTGCCAATATCCTTATTTTTTTATGAAATTAATTACATGTTCCAAGTACCACCTTCTTTAGTTCTCAAAAGGAGAAGCCGCACAATGCGGAAACACTTGACAAGAGCTTGAAGTCCCACCAGGAGCATTGTGGAAAGCCTCAATCTTTTTGCAGTGTATTATGCAAAAAAAAAAAAAAGAGAAGTTGTAGTTTTGTGAAGCTCCTAAATATTGTCCATATTATACCTGAAAACTTGGCACTTGAAAACTAATATGGGTGGTGCACAATGAGAATAGCCCTATTCAATTGCATCATTAAGTCAAATAACTGCCTGTTCTCTACCTACCAGTTAGCAAGGAGGACCAGTTAGCCACTTCAGTTTGCCTTTGTACTATGCAGTCATACTCTAGCATTGAGTGTGTAGCACTACCCCCTTAGGAGTTGCTGAGTTATTTTTGGGCTCCCTGTCGTTCTGACCCCTGTCAGAAAGCCCAACCCCTGCTGACACCACTTTACTCTTTTGAGCAGAGTAAATTATCACCAGAAAGTAGACGCACACACAGATTGGAGTAAACTGAGAGAATGTTCATAATAAACTTCAAGGTCAGCTTGGTTAAACAGCACTAAATGGTATGTGTGTGATGGCAATTGTTACTCTTAGCAACCCTAAGCAAAGAAACAACACGTACAGCAGAATTTCAATCAGTGTTAGCAGGCCTGCTCTTCAAAAGTTAACCCAATACCTCCAATCTGAGATATTTCTAAGTGCAGCAAGGAATATTCTGCGCTTTTGTTGGGGTCCAGTTGTTGCACAAGTAGGAAGAGATGAGGGTGACAGTCCCTCAAAGGATTATTTCAAGGAAAGGAAAAAGGAAGGACAGTACTATCTCTTTAAGTGACACTTTACTTGGGTGGTGTCCCTTTAATGCACTGAGCAGGTTACAAATTTTAGGCAGAAAGGTGTCAGGAGTTGGCAGAAGTACTTGCTGGCAAAGGGCATCTCT